ATCACCTGTTTTAAAAATGTTGGTATTAAAAAAAGAAAATGTATACAGGTGAAACAAAACAGTTTGTAGGCTACACTTAGCTCTTGGGCAGTGTGTTTGTAACATTATTATTGGATCATAATTTCCCCTTTGGGAGCTACTTAGGATAAGTGCATTGCTTCACTATTTCCTTCTTTTTTAAAATATATTTTTATTGATTTCAGAGAGAAGAAGAGAGAGGGAGAGGGAGATAGAAACATCAATGATGAGAGTTACTGATCAGCTGCCTCCTGCACGGCCCCTGCTGGGGATCGAGCCCGAAACCAGGGCCTGTGCCTTGACCGGGAATTGAACTGCGATCTCGTGGTCCATAGGTCGGTGCTCAACTGCTGAGGCACCTGGCCGGGCTGCTTCAGTATTTCTTTCATTCATTCATACTTCCATCCATTCATTTATTTATTGTGTGACAACCATGAACCATGCATTGCACTAGGCACTGTGCATATAACCATAAATATGGCAAAGATCCACTCCCCTGGAGCGCTTGGTATCATTTCTGTCATCTTTCTTTAGGCTGAGCATCCCGGATTTCCTCTAATTTCCCTTCCTGAGATATCACCTTGAGACCTTCCCACTCCCCTAGTATCCTGGAGCTCTCCTGTACAGGTCCTTCAGCATTTAAATAACACTCAAAGGGGCTGTTGTCCCACATTGCATACCACTCACATCCCCATTCCTGTCCACAGGTAGAATACCTCCCTCTTCCCTATCTCTGCACCTGGTAGGTTCTCAACTTACTAGAATTTTTTTTTTAACTAACCATTAATTACCTATTTAAGTGCCTCTCTTTCTTTTACTATGCTGTTAACTCTTTGGTAGCAGATGCCATGTCTTCTCTTTGTATTTCTGGGCCCTACATCATACCTGACATGTAGTAAGTACTCAATAAATATCTGTTGGAGTGAATCAAAATGAAAAATAATAGTTTGACTTACCTGGTTCCCTCTCTGTTGGTGCTTTGGTCTGCTTTGATATCCAATACACGATAACTCTTTGAGTTTAGGGCAAACTAGCAGCCCTTGGACAATACTATTTGTTTCTGGAAATGGGTTAGTATTTTGTTGTCTTTTAGATCTAAATGTGGGTCTTTATTCTTACCCATATTCTATGTTAGAATTAATTAGCAATTTCAGGCATTTAAACTCTCTGTGAGTCTCCATCAGGCAGTCTCTCAGGACAGTAATTCTCCTTCCCAGTTACAGACCCCCTGCAAGTTTAGCTAGCATACACTATAGATTCATTTCAGTCTTTGATAAAAATATTGGACAGTCCAGAGATAATATCAGAATCCTACGACATACACTGGAGGTCTCCATCGAAGGAGACATCGATTTATTATTCTGAGACTCTTCGTGTGAGCAACAAATCTGTCTTAGTCGATCTTGCACACAAGAAGCTTCTGATTTTGTAAGTGCCTTTGTTAAAATAAAGATGTGCTGTGTCTTTCACATCCCCTGTCCTATTAAAATATTAGGTTGATCAGTTAAACCTCTCTTATGTAAACCCATATTGGCTCCCAAAATCAGAGACTTTTTTCCCTAGGGCTCACAAATAGGATAAGTTCTAAAATTTTGTTATAATTTTGTTTCATAGTCACTTGTCTATCGTTTGGAGAGTTCACTCTCCATCTTTTTAGACAATGAGGAAACTCTCCAAACTCGAGATTCTAGGTGGTTTCTCAAACTTTAGATTCTCCAATGTTAGGTATGGTGTGAGAGGCTTTCATACCGTGACCTTATGGCTGCAGTGGTCCCCCAGTCAGCAACTTGTTTTTATATTTTGGGATCTAATCGAATTTACGTAAAAATACCAGGTACTCTGTCCTAACCCATTTCCAGAAATAATAATCTAGATGGATGCCACCTGTGTGTTTTCAGATATGATACATATGGACCACTAAGGTGACTCATGCCTACCATTTTATGTCATTTTTAGAAGGGGAAAGGAATGTATGTACCTCATAAAAGAGTAGTGATGTAGTAATAACAACACTACATTTAATGATGCTTTTAAACTTTTCAAATGGTTGAATAATGAATACTTTAGAAAAGTAACAAGTCTTTTGTCCCCTTTTTAAAACTGGTGCTGTTATTTGTAATCCCAAATTATAATCTGCAGTATCATACCCGTTGGAATAGTCATTCGCATCAGCGATTTGGCTTATTAGATGTCTTGCTTTCTCTTTATTGCCATTTTTATAACTAATGGTGGGACGCAACCTTGTACATTGAAAAGAATACTCCTGTTTCCTCCTCTACTCACACTCACAATACTTAGGACACCAGATGTGTGGGTTTACTTCAATAAACTCACCAATTCTCTGACCCCAGCTGGGTGTCTGGCGTTTCAGTTGAACTCTGACGCTGTCTCCCTGGAGTCAGCACCAGATTCCCCAGGTTAACTCGGTTCCATAAGACTACCCCACTTCAGGTGTCAGTCATAAGGAGTGGGCCCCTAGGTTGCCTACATTCTGTCCAGCTTGGGAGTTGTACAAATTGGAAGTTCCCATGACTACTCCTCAGGTTCAATAAATAATTCACTATAGTGGCTCACAGAACGCAGGGAAATGCTTATGTTTATTGTTAATTATATAATAAAGGGTAAGATAAAGGATGAACATCCAGATGACAGGAGACACTGGGCAAGGTCTGGAGGGGCCTGAGCACAAGGCCTTTGTCTCCTTCGAGTTGGCTGCTGGACCCCCTTGTCACTTGGATTTGTTCACCAACCTGGAAGCTCTCTGAACCCTGTAATTTGGGGATTTTTATGGAGGCTTCATCATGTAGACACGACAGATGTTAACTCAATCTCCAACCCCTCTTCCTACCCTGGAGGATGGGAGGGCAGGGCTGAAATTTCCAATTTTCTAATCATGCCTTTGTCTTTCTGGTGACCGGCCCCCATCTTGAAGCTCTCCGGGAACCCACCAAGAGTCACCTCATTAGAACAAAAGACAAGTCACCTCATTAGAACAAATAGGAGCTTTGTATCAGGAACCAGGGACAGACCGAACATTAGAACAAAAGATGCTCCTAGTGCCCCTATCACTTAGGAAGTTACAAGGATTTTAGGAGCTCTGTGCCAGGAACTGGGGATAGAGACCAAATATTAGAACAAAAGATGCTCCTAGGATCTTCATTGTTTAGGAAATTTTAAAGGTTTTAGAATCTCTGACCAGGAGTCAGGATGAAGACCAAAATATATATTTCTTATTATATCACAATATTACATACATATATATTTAAACTTTTTGTTGGTTATTTTCTTATGGAAACTTTCTAGAAGTGGAATTTTTGGTCCAAGAGTATGTATTTTTTAAAGCCTTTGATACATAGTAAAAACCTCAAGACCTTCCGATTTGGACATCCACTAACCAGATAGGAGATAGCTTATTTCTCTCAGAATCACAGGTCTGAGTGAATTTTACATTAATGGCTTAGTTGGCCTGGAAGGCTCAGCCTGATGAAGCGGAAACCATGTAAAATCATCCTCAGGGGCATGGACTCAGGGAACTGCACCCAAGTTGTCCGAGGATGGGGCCTAGGTCTTGCCCTTGTCACAGCTCCGCCGTCCCCAGCTCTCTGATTTCCAGCAGCTCTCACCCATGTGGGCTCTCGTACTGGAATGGGACACCGGTCACCTATGTCACACCTGGCTCCCACCTCGAGGATGCTGAGGCGTGTGCAGACTCATGGGCCTGCCAACACAACTGGGTCAGAGCCCTGGAGTTGGATCCCACACAGCAATTCCTTTTTCTAAGCGCAGTGAGGACCGTGATTACTTCAGTGGGAATGAAAATGGAGTCGATGAGTAACTACAACATTTAGATTCATGTGTCCAAATGAAGCTTGAGATGTTTAAAATTCTGTAGGTTAAGGCTGTGCGTGAATCAAGTCGGATATTTAGAATATGCACATAAAATGACTTTTACATTCTCAATTGTTCTGTCAAAGGGGAGGTGTTTCTATAAGAAGCACATAAAGGACACAGAAATAAAGATGTGGGATTGCTGTTTTGGAGGAATTGCCTGGAGTGTACACAGCTATGGGCAATACCACTCAGAGTGTATATCCTCGCCCCAAACAACCATACCTCATACGACTGCGCTTTCTCTGTAACCCCACAGACCCAATTGGAGTCATTATGCCCTGTTATTAAATTCAAGGCGACCTTTCAAAGTTTGTCTCTGTTCTGCATTTCTATCTCAGGAAAGCATTTTTTCAAGATGTCGAACAATAGATTTCCCCTCTGTTTGTGGTTCCCTTTTGAGTTTTTTTTTGTCATAATCTTAGAATTCAGATTCTGAGATCTGGGGGAATTTATGTTAGGAAACATTTAATACAAATTCTGAAATGCTCTGCTTTTGCTCATCCTTTGAAATTAGCTGCAGCTGGTACTCGGATGTAGTCGCCCTGGAGCTTGCTTGTGGGGTGGTAATTAACAATGATTTCTAGTCCATAATCTGGAAATTTGGTTCCTGGTGGCACCATGGGTGAGAGAACACCTTTATGCCTGGTTTGTCCCAATGGTGACCACATTCACAGTCTTGTGGTTTCTTTCGCATCTCCACTGGCTGTGCTCTGACCCACAGCAACTGTGGACTTGCCTGTGAACACTCAGCTGCTGAGGAAGAACAGTAGTGAAACAAGGGTATTGTTGGGGTGCTTGCAGTAGCCATGGAGAGGGGGAAATAGGTTCCGGCCTATCTGCCTACCTTCCCACTGAGACCATAAAGTTTCCTGAAATAATATTGTATTGCATTTTGCAGTGATTTCTGCAGATAGGAAAATTCTAAGAGAAGGAAAAAGTGATACTCAAATAATGTGGAGTAGCCTGATGTTGGGACTCATTTAAAAATAATTACTTGAATAGCTTACTCTTTAAAATGATGGATTCCCTGATTTTCTTGTGCTTATGTTCTGTTTGTAGCTAATCATTTCTGTTTTGTCTTTTTGTTACAGGCTAAACATATTTTTGACTGGCATGAACCCATTTTACTTTCATGCAGTAAATGTGATTTTGCACTGCCTGGTGACTCTTGTGCTGATGTACACCTGTGACAAAACTGTCTTCAAGAATCGTGGACTTGCTTTTGTTACGGCATTGCTTTTTGCTGTGCATCCTGTTCACACTGAGGCGGTGAGTGTCATTGCAACTCAATGAAATAAAAACCAAAAAAAAAAAAGCTAACCTGATGTTTTTCCCCCTTTCAAGACCATGTTAATATAAAGCTCTACTAAAGTGTTTATATATAAATCATTCTGCTTGACAACTTTTCTTTTTGAATGTTCAAATGGTCTTTATTGTACCTCCAGGATTTAATTGCTTTTCTAAATAACCGCTGTTATTATTACAGGTAGTAATAAATGGCCACCGTTCTTTATTTGCAGGAAATTTAAGTCCTAATGGGTTTTTAACAGCAAGGGGAATTCTGAGATACTTATCATGCTGGCTCATTGTTCCTGCTCTGCATTTATATTTCTTTTCTCGCTCTGCTTTATTTTGTAATATTTATGATGCAGAACTGTAAGTGCTGGGAGGAGGTCTATAAAAAGTTAGACTGACATTCAAGTTAGAAAGACAGACTTAGGAGACTAACATAGTTTTTCAGTTACCTAATATCAGGTGTAGCTATTTTGTGGAAGATAAGGACTTTATTTATAAAGTTAGATAGTTTAGATCTCTGGCCTTCTTTAAAATATGATTTAGCCCTGGCCGGGTGGCTCAGTTAGTTGGAGCATCTTCCCGTGCACCGGAATGTTGTGGGTTCGATTCCCAGTCAGGGCACATACCTACGTTGCAGGTTTGATCCCCAGTTGTGGCATGTAAGGGAGGCGACTGATCGATGTTTCTCTCTCACGTTGATGTTTCTCCCTCTCTTTCTCTCTTCCCCTTCCTTTCTCTCTAAAATCAATAAAAAAACATCCTTGGATAAGGATTGAAAAATAATAATAATAAAATATCGACTTAATCTTGCCCTGAGATGGCATTAGCAAGTTACCTTGTTTCACATCTCAGTAACCACAGGTGGTTTATTTTATGTGTATTGTTAGGGGTAGGTGAAGACTTTCCAAGGGCGGCATGGGCACCACAGTTTGGAAACAGAATGGATTGTTTCCAGAGCTTCAGCTTGCGTCTGGACACTTTTCTAAAGTTGAGCTGCCTGAGAACACACCTGGGGTAAAAGTGTCAAGTTGATTCTCTTCTCCTTCTTCCCATTTCAATTGCTTTTCTCTAATTAAGAGAGAGAGAGAGAGAGAGAGGTCTCCATAGCAGACATCAGAAACTTACTATGCACCAGGTGCGCCAGCATCGGAGGCACCTACAAAGATACAATTTGATATATTGGTGTCAGCAAAGCCTCCTTCAATCAAGGCATCATAAACCCAAAGTAGGGCTTCTAATCTTTCTGTTTTATGCAGATTATATGAAGATTGTGAAGATAGCATGTCACTGGGAGTAGGGCGTGGTGGTCTGTGTTGAAGCTCTGAATTCAGGAGTGAGATGGTTGTCATGGGGATGCATAATATGCTCATTTGAACTGACACAAGAAGTTTGATTTGGCCAATTGGTTTGATAATGAGGACTGGTTTTGCCAGGTAGGCTATAAGATAGGCATTTTCTACAAACAAAATTCTAAAGCTGCAAGCCGAAGATTTTGACAAAAATGTATTTAGAGTGATTAAGAAAAAAAAGTACTTTATTAAAAATCACATTATTAAAGTTAATTTCCCCAGTCCTTTCTGAATCTTAGAGTAAACAAGGTGCCTCTAAGTGGAAGAATTTGCAGTATAAGTAATGGTCCTCTGACAAGTCTTAGTAAAGTCCTTTTGCTGTACTTTTGGAAAACTCTGAAAGCGAATGACTAATGACAGGTAACTCCAGTGATGAGTAGGCTTCAATAATGTGCTTTCAACCAAACTGAAGGAGGAGCTGATTGAGTTGTCAGCTGGCAGATCATTAAACGATATGTAAGATGATAGGTCACTATGATTTTCCAGATAACTTTGGTGTTCAAAGAATTAAGTCACTGTTTTAACATGGCTAGTTCTGTTCCCATTGCTGCAAACTGTCCATAAAGATGAAAGCTAGGAATTGAATGGATGCTGCATGCTTTCTTATTCAAACAAAAGGTGATATTCAGCCATAGACCGCTGAGTTTATTGAGAAGAAAGCTGCTACATCTGTTACTTAGAGACATATTTTTATATTTGACAATTATTTTTTATTTTTTCTAATTTATTTATGATGTGTTGGACAATTGCATATTAATACTAATTAGAAAAATAATACAAAATTAAAAAATTAACACAGAAGCTTATGGTCAAAGGAAATCTTAAAAACAAATTTAACTATATGTGCATTTTATTACAGGGAGAAATGATAAAATATTTTTAAGCATAGCTATATACTACATTGAGAAAAAAATGCTGAAGGGGAAATAAAATGGAAATATGAGTTCAAGGGCAAGGGTGTGAATGTCTATGATTTAAAGAGCCTGTTCATGTTGTTTAAATGGAAAATGATGAGCTTGAAAATGCTATAATGCATTTCAGATTCCTTTTGGTACATCATTTAAAACAGTAACATTATAGCTTTATTTTAAAATGTCAATATTTATAATGCATAGGACACTAGATTCTTTCAAGTATCTAAAATTATGAAAAATTTTGACATGAATTTTATTTTATTTTTTGCATTTTTTCCTTTTCATTGACTTTATTGNAGCTTTATTTTAAAATGTCAATATAATGCATAGGACATTAGATTCTTTCAAGTATCTAAAATTATGAAAAATTTTGACATGAATTTTATTTTATTTTTTGCATTTTTTCCTTTTCATTGACTTTATTGTGGTGACACTGGTTAACAAAGTTATACGGGTTTTAGGTGCACAATTCCACACACATCATCTGTACACTGTATTATGTATTCACTACCCCAAGTCAAATTTCCTTTNCTTTATTTTAAAATGTCAATATTTATAATGCATAGGACACTAGATTCTTTCAAGTATCTAAAATTATGAAAAATTTTGACATGAATTTTATTTTATTTTTTGCATTTTTTCCTTTTCATTGACTTTATTGTGGTGACACTGGTTAACAAAGTTATACGGGTTTTAGGTGCACAATTCCACACACATCATCTGTACACTGTATTATGTATTCACTACCCCAAGTCAAATTTCCTTTTTTTTAAAAAAATATGTCTTTATTGATTTCAGAGAGAGGAAGAGGGGGAGAGAGAGAAACATCAATGATGAGAGAGTCATTGACCGGCCGCCTTCTGCACGCCCCTGACTGGGGCTCGAGCCCACAACTCGGGCATGTGCCCCGAACGGGAATCAAACTGCGATCTCCTGGATCCCAGGTCGATGCTGGCCTCCCCAAGTCAAGTCTCTATCCATCACCATTTATCTCCTGTACAGTCCTCCACCTCCTGCCCCCGCCATCACCACACTGTTGTTCACGTCCGTGAGTTCTCTCTCTCTCTTTTTCCCCCTCAATCCCTTCAACCCCCTACCCAGCCTCCCAGTCCCCACCCCACCCCCAGCAGCTGTTAGTTTGCTCTCTATCTGTGCATCTGTCTGTATTTTGCCTGTTAGTTTATTTTGTTCATTAGATTCCACATATGAGTGAAATCATATGCTACTTGTCTTTCTCTGCCTGGCTTATTTCACTTAGCATAACGCTCTCCAGGCTCGTCCATGCTGTCTCACAGGGTAAGATTTCCTTCTTTTTCATAGCCTTGTAGTGTTTCATTGTGTGAATGTCCCACAGCTTTTTTATCCACTCATCTACTGACGGGCAGTTGAGCTGCTTCCAAATGCTGGCTGTTGTAAATAGGGCTGCAAGGACTGTAGGGGTGCATATATTCTTTGGAATTAATGGTTTGGGTTTCTTTGAGTAACCTCCCAGAAGTGGAATCTCTGGATCATAAGGCAGTTCCATTTTTTGTTTGTTTGTGGTTAATCCTCGCCTGAGGATATTTTTTCCACTGGTTTTTAGAGAGAGTAGAAGGGTGGGTGGGGGGAGAGAGAAAAAGGTGGGGGGAACATTGATGTGAGAGAGACACATCGATTGGTTGCCTTCCACATGCACCCTGAGTGGGGCTGGTGATCAAGCCCGCAACCCAGGTACATGCCCTTGACTGGGAATTGAACCCATGACCCTTCGGTGTGTGCGGCTGACGCTCCAACCATTGAGCCACACCAGCCAGGATGAGGCAGTTCCATTTTAAATTTTTTGAGGAACCTCCACACTGCTTTCCGCAGTGGCTGCCCCAGTCTGCATTCCCACTAGCAGTGCCCTAGGGCTCCCCTTTCTCCACACCCTCGCCAGCGCTTGTTGTTTGTTGATTTGTTGATGGAGCCATTCTGACAGGTGTGAGGTGATACCTCATTGTGGTTTTAATTTGCATCTCTGACGATTAGTGACTGAAGATCTTTTCACATGTCTCTTGGCCATCTGTATGTCCTCTTTGGGGAAGTGTCTGTTCAGGTCCTTTGCCCATTTTTAAATTGGATGGTTAGTTTGGTGTTGTTTTATAAGTTCTTTATGAATTTTGGATATTAACCCCTTATCAGATATGAATTTTAAATGATGAGAGAGATATATATAATTTTTTAATATTCTTTTTGGCTGTAATGTGAAATACTAAAATCAAGGGCTACTAGCCATGTAGAATACAGGGTGAGGCAAAAGTAGGTTTACAGTTTTCATATGGACAATAATACAATAATTAATAAATAATAATACAAGAATTAACTCTGTGTTTTGCATACTCACATCTGTATACCCACTTTTGCCCCATCCTGTATACGATGCTGGTCAAAGGCAATTTTTCAATCACAGACAATATTACATTTCTGACAGATAATTTTAAAAGTACAGTTGAAAATCTGTGCTTAGAATGTCTTGGGGAAATTGTTTGCAGGAAAGAACAAATGCCTGGGACAATAGCAGTCCTAATTCTGTTCTTGCTGAGTAGGAGAACATAAAACTTCGGTGGCCTTTGGCAGTGTGATCATGAGCTGATGACATTAGGTTGAATTCTAAATAAAAAAGAAAAATCCTGTTAGCAGAATGACCTTTAAGAAAAGGTTTCAACAAGCTTTTGTACTAATCGGAAAAAAA